GATAGCAACGTGGTGTGAAAATGATAGCTCCAGTTCTGGCACAGAGTGAAGGGGAATAACTGGGCAGGGGTTCAAGTGCTGGGCAAGATGGCCTTTTCACTCAGGAAATAAACAGATGTATACGCACTGGACACTGGACATCATGGTACTGTACAGCACCAAGCCTGAAAATAGGTGGGACTGAGGTGAAGTCCTTTCACAATGACACTTTGGCCTTTAGAGGGAACCATGTTTGGTGCCCTCTAAAGGCCAACACCAAGAGACTGTGTGACCGTTTAGGAACTGACATTTAGTGTTCCAATGCAAACTTTCATCTGGCCTTACATCTGTGTGTGCCATAGGCATACACCTCCACTATCTAGCTGTATTTGTATTGTACAGTGTAGTAGGTCTATCAGAAGACTTCAAAATGGAAATGATAGGATTTGAAAAACAAAAAATCATGTATGAATTAACATGAGACCTGAAGTGAAGATCGTAAACATTTTTGTTTTACAATCTACACACATCATCTATAGAGGTACATGTGCAGACTTTTCATGCTGTGCAAAAGCAAAAATACTGAACACAGCTTTTAGCAAGAAATGCGTTTGTACTGAGCCCCATGCTGATGCCAATTTTAGTGGTTTTTAACCATGTAGTGTGTTGACCCTGGAAATGTGATCACAGACAGTATGCTCATAACAGTCAGTATGCAGACCAAGAAATCGCCTGAATTTATTATGGATGGTGGTAAAACAGCTCGATGAACCCTGGACACAGCCTGCTGCAACACGTCCAAGAGGTGCTACAGAACACCGAATGTCACAGAAACCGTTTCTTCTTATAGGCCAGGAGCAAGTCTTTTAGAATCCCTAACTCTGAACCACTGTATATACTGTATAGTGAATAAATGTTTTCTCTTTCATGGTACTATCATCCACCTATGCATGTATATACAGTGTCAGTAACCTTTAATTTATTGTTCGTAACTGAGCGTATTCCTGAATCAGAGGAATCTGCACAATTTGCACTAAACTTTTGGTTCACCCTAAACATGCTGTTTTACACATATGCATACATAGTAGTTCAACCCTTATTTTCCTTTTTTCTTTAGCCTGTTGAACTCGTTTTAATACATGTGCGAGGTACTTGCACTTGTTCCATTACACCTCTCAGAAGACAGAAATGCATACACATTATTCTGTCTCTTTGTTGTGATTATTTGGCAAAATGAGAGTGTGGTTTATGTCTGACAGCCAAACACTGTGTAGTAAACAGGTCACAGACTGTGGCNTATACATGTACATGACAAAAGGTTTACATGTTGTGACACAGATAAACAGCAGCTTCACATTTGTAGCTGCTGCCCGAAATGACCATGTCTTCAGCTGAAGTTAGGCAGCTGATTAAGGGATTGTTAGGTTCATGAGTTCGTTAAAAACCTGTCTCTGGCTGACTTTTAAATGTGTCCCATCTAACTTTTTTTAAAATGTAAAATGGGTGTAAAATGGGTCTTAATACTGAACTTAGTATCTACAGAATTTGTGATTTTTTTGGCTATTTTTCAGAGAATATGAATGAAAAGAGAAGAAGTGGTTTTTTCACTCATGGTTTGTGGTTGGGTGAAGCCATTTATTGTCAAACAACTGTGTCTACTCTTTTAAATCATAAAAAACTACCCAAATGACCCTGATCAAAAATTTACACACCCTAGTGATTGTTGCCTGATAACATGCACACAAGTCGACATGAACAGGTTTGAATGGCTGTTATAGGTAACTATCCTCACCTGTGATCTGTTTGCTTGTAATCAGTGTGTGTCTTTAAAAGGTCAGTGAGGTTCTGGGCTCCTGACAGACCCTGCTGCACTGACGTTTCTGGATTCTGAGTCATGCAGAAAGCGAAAGTATTGTCAAAGGATCTGTGGAAAAAGGTAACTGAACTGTATGAATCAGTAAAGGGATATAAAAAGATATATGAGGAACTGAGAACGCCAATCAGCAGTGTTCAAACTATAATTAAGACGTGGAAAATGAGGGATTCTGTTGAAACCAAGCCACGGTCAGGTAGACCAACAAAAATTTCAGCCACAGCTGCCAAGAAAATTGTTCAGGATGCAAAGAAAAACCCACAAATAACTTCAGCTGACATACAAGACTCTGGGGAAAAAAAAGGTGGTGTTGCTGTTTCAAGATGCGCAATAAGGAGACACTTGATGAAAAATAGGCTGCATGGTTGAGTCGCCAGAAGAAAGCCATTA